ATTGTTACCCGGCAGCTCCACCAATTTGAACCCAATCACCCGTGGCGGTAACGTGATTGTAGTTTAATTATTCTGGGATCTTGTAGGTTTCATCTGCCACCTGGATTCACAATCTTGGACGTCTTTGAGATAATTCTTCCTTCTAAGAGTTGTTGTATTCTCAGCTCAAGAGCATTCCTGAAAGTGATCTGGTATTAGAAAATCAGATTGTGCGATCCAAAATATGAATGTCTGTGAATCTGTGGTTGCTTATATTCAAGTAAAGTTATATAAATCATTCTGTCAGGATTGCTCAATCATAGGCAAAAATTGTGCAATAATTGCACAATTGCCCACGCATATTGCATCAGAAACCTGCTTAAAACCTGCTAAAAGTGGTTACTGATATATTGTTTCCACCTGACAGAATAAGCTTAAAAACAGAATCTTGTGGTATAATTAGCTAAACCGGTTTAAACTAGTATCAAGTTATCTAGTACAATCTCGGGTGTCAATCAAATATTAACTCCATCGACTGCTACCTGGTTGAACCAACATAATACACAATAGTAACAATTACTTTCAGATTCTTTACAATATCGGTATAAGTATCAATGATATCAAAATAAATATCAATGATATTAAATAATAAAATAAATTAATTAATTGACTAATTAATGTCAGAAAGTGAGTGGTAACATGTGCATATTTTTGTGTATGTTCTTCATGTTGTGTATTGTGTTGTGTATATGTCTATGCATGTTGTGTATGTTGCTGTAAAACTTGTTTTGAATGATAAAGTGATAAATCTGATGTTTAACTGGTTGAGCAAAGCCAAGAAATTTTCTTTGAAGTTTCATTATTGCGCTCAGTGTTGTCATTAAGGAGCAAAAACAGCCTGGTCAAACGAACCTGTTTCCCATCAAAATTAGGTGGTCCGTAACAGGATGTGCTGGTCAAAATGACCAGCATTTCAAAAAAGGTGCTGGTCCGTATAAAGTCTCACTGGTCAATAAATTTATGATTGTTTTAAGCACTTCAACATCTCTATTGCAGGATGAATAATATGGAAGGTACATTTCTCTACATACTTTGCAAAACATCTTTTGTGACTGGCTGTCGTACAACAGCCAGTCAAACTGCTTCCCCCAGGCAGGCAAAAATGATCTTTCTCGTTTATCTTTCTCGTACTGTTTTTGTTGTTTCTTTTTCTTTTTCACTCGAATTGGCCACATTTTCACAGAGGAAGTAGAACATTTAATTCTCCCTAAAATTGATTCGCTAAACCGAGTATTACATACAATTACCGAACGCCCATAAGAAAAGCCCATAAAAAAGCTAGGCGTTCGGTAATTGTATGTAATACTCGGTTTAGCGAATCGATTCTAGCGAGAATTAAATGTTCTACTTCCTCCGTGAAAAAGGAAGTTTTGAAAAATGAACCAGATATCTGCTGAATACGCTCGTGTCAAGGTAAATATCGATCAAGATGACCACAAACAATAGAGTAAACCTGCGGACACATATTCTAGAGGTATGTAGGTATCATAAAAACAAGCTGGTCCAAAGGGTCCAGCACCTGGGCAACTTTTGCCGGACCGGAGGACAATCAACTGGTCCCTGACCGCCAGTCCGCTTGTTAATGTTAACACTGAATGCACTGTCATTTCACCATACTTGTGGAGTACCAAAATGACCTTTGATACTTGATTCTGGTCCTTGTCATACAGCAGCTTGGGTTTACAGCTCTTACTTCCATTCCCAGGTAGCTATACTCCCACAAGACATACTGTCGATATAATACCTAAAAATTCCAGGAAACATTCCCGTATGCATCATAATCCCCATATCCGATTAGGTCCTATTGATGGCCAAGCACTATACCTATTACCATTTCATCAAGGATAGCATTATCCATTTCGTGCAATCAAATGAGTTACTTACTATATGAAGATGCAACTTTAAACATGTCATATTATGTTATGTTATCTCATCTGTGAAGTCCCAGTTGTATCATAAGAAATCCTCAATTTTTTATTTATTTAGTTATAACACTAGTTTTTGTCAAAGCCCAAAGGGGACATGCCATTAAGAGGCCATTCTCTGACTTAGTCATTTTTTCAAAAGTGTGAAAATAAAAAACCTCATGAAAAGTTCTTAAAATATTCTGAATAACAAGTTGAATATATATATTTAATGATGGCACAAGCAAAAGTCTGAAAATTAATATGAAATGAGGGGTTTTGACAGATGCAAAAGATGGTAGATTTGTGATGAAGAAATAGAGGTTTTTGCAGTAACAACACAATTACCTCGAAGTTATCAGTTATGAGAGGCTGGGGACTAAACTTGACATAATTTTCAATCTCAGATTAACAGTAGTATCTAACTTAAGCTGGACAGCCACTCAAAATGTATATGGAGCCCATAAGATACATTTTTCTCAATTGAAGTCACTATTTCTGTTTTTAGCTTCAGAGGATAGGAGGTACATGAACATGCTAAGTTTACCTAGATCACAAGCCTTAACAGAAAAATAAAGTATATAGGAATAGAGTTGATATGTGTGAGAACCTTAAACTTCCCATTTTATTGGGGATGGGACTTGTGATTCATGTGTATTTCTAACTTTTTCACATGTGCATGGATCTAAAATTGTGGCAGCTATCTTGGATTTGTCATATATGTAGACATGGTTCGTTGTGCTGAATTTGTTTCAAAATAACATTTCTTGTATACCTTCCATAAGGGAGATAGGCATTTGAAATTGAATACAGATAGTATACTTGACATTTAATGCAGTAAACAGTAATATAATTCATTCTTACATAATAAGTGAGTCCAGACAAAAAGTTGTTATTGTGTTAGTTTAACTGGGCATAAATTACACTCATTGGCCTTGGTTTTCTTAAATGGCTTGGATAAAATGTTGTTCTATTTATTCACAAATGGAGTATAGTGCAATATATAAGTTCACATTCATTCCATCCTCTTGTAGAAATGAATTGCATTTTATTTCATCTCAAATATAGAACATAAAAATATAATAAAAAACAAGTTTCTATTAATTGCAAAAGTTAGCTTCCATGTCATGACTGAGTTTGGGTTCCGCTTCTCGAGAAAAAAGATATTCCCTCTGGAAATATCGTATTGACCGTTGCTATACGATCCATATTTAGTCCTCCCTGCAAATAACATTGATATACAGTATATATATGACATCGAGGATCTTGGGTTTTGGTAATGTGGGACATGAGTTGCTACTTTTTGAATCTCATATTCAATATTCTTTCTTTAAACCCTCATATTTAATATTTTTGAAGTGGTAATTCAATTATTTACCTATTTGTTATTCTTTATCCCATAGTTGAGCTCGTTCCGCTCTGTTAGGTAACATGAAAACATATTTATGATATTTTGCAAATGCATGGAAAAAGTGATATCAGTGGAATACGAAAATATTTCACAGATGTCACCTTTTGCCAGGGATTTGAAAACTACCACCAATATGATATGTTTTGTTACATAGTGATTTCAAGACATCACGGGGCCGGGGATGAATGAATGAATGGATGTTTTTTTGATATGTTTGTTTAGATTTATAGGTGAACTATGGGATAAATAGAACATCCTATGAATTTTCGTGATATCGTGTTAATCCACTCATTGATATCAATATCTGCGCTAATTCGCTATGCTAACTTGGCAAGATATTGATATCAACTCAGAGATAAAGATGAAATCATTTAAAATCATATGATATCCTATACATATCCTTAACTGTGCCACAACTTTCTCACATGTTATATTTTGGCAAAGGCCATCATTTTTTTTTCCTTGAATTTATACTTTTGTTCTTCATTTTAGAAATGAGAGGAAATCTTTGATTTTCCTTGTATTTAAGTTGCTTAAATGTTGCTCTGTGATATTGATAAAATTCAATAGTAATCCATTACAGTCACAGTCGAAATGTACCCATTGCTAGCCTAGAACCTACCAGAATAGCATTTGCATTTTGCCAATATTGCCCTATGTGCTTTTCCATGAAAATAATTTTAATCGTACTTTCTTCAGTATTTCATATATTACATTTTAATATATTTAAATTGGTTTATATAAATATATTATTTACTTAGAGAAGAATAAATAAAGAAATTTTTGTAAAAACACCAATAATGGAATATGATCTTTAAATGACTGTTGTGTTGAACATCAAAGGTCAAAATTTGCTGAAATTGTATTTTTATAAAGCACAAATGATTTTTCTTCAATAAGATAAGCATTATTATCAGATATCTTTGGGGGCTAAAAAGGGCCCTTAATGACACCTGTCCTTTTCAAAAAATCAAGTTTAAATATATTGTTCACATGATTGTAGTTTTTATTGCAATCACTGTGTTAATTTCAGTTCAACTTTTTTTCATAAACTTTTTCATAAAATCTTTCTTTCATATGCATGAACTTTGTCTTTCAAGAGTCTGTCTTGAATGTTCATGTGAGTAATTGTATGTAACTTTAAACACCCGCATGGGTGTCAGTTGCCTGTGAACTGAATACAGTTACAAGAATAGTTGATAAACACAAACAACTGCACTACACAAAACTTGTAAAGTAGTAGCAAATAGTAGCAATAATGTCTTACTGGAACTTAGAATACAGTAGCAATATGGATTGACCATTTGCCACGGTTGGTTGAAACATTGAAGTGACTTGTAGCTGAGAAGGCAGTATCTGTCCCAGCTCTGTGGATGCAGGTCCTAATACTGATTGTTATGGTTGTGTGGCCGGAGCCTGTTGTGTAACATTGGGCATCTGTGGGGCCTGCATTTGTAAATGGAGGGGCTGTGCACCCGAAATACTTGGGAATAAGGGTGGCTGCTCGGCAACATTATGTTGGGTTGAAGTGTTCGTCAATGAGCCATGCAATAATGGCACATGCAAGCCGGATGACGGAGCAGGTGCAGAGTGGGTAGCAACAGATATAGCATAAGAGTTTCCTAAAGCTGAAGATAGTATAGGGTGGCCTAATGCCGCAGTAGATGCTGATGCAGGAAGGAGGGGTACGGAAGTTGGTAATGTAGGCATACCTGGCATGGATGATGAGGTAGTCTGCCTGGAGGCTGCAGCATCTGCTAGCATATGTAACGTTCCGTCTGGTCCTGGAGCCGAGTATGCCATGTTTTCTGAAAAGTTAAATTTTTTTTACATCTGCTGGAGCCTAAGAGGCCATCTGTAACTGCGTATTGCATAAAACTGAATATGTCATTATGTGTATATAAGATGCAATATATAAATCTACAAAGGCTTTATATTAAGAACTGTATGCCTAAAGATATGAAAAATGTTAAACGTAAATAACTTTGTAAATATAGACTCCCTGGCACAATTATAAGAGGTGCCGCTCTTTTACTTACTCAAAGATGTAGATGTTGTTTCACTACCCCCACCCATGAATACTGCAGTTCCTTCTCGCCAAAAGTGTTCAGGTAGACTGGATCAATAAGGTGTTGCGTAAATGAGTCTGGCTCTTCCCAAAGAGAGGGATGGAAAAAGAACCGAAGTTGGGGGGAATGAAGCTGGTTGATTTTGTGGAACAATTGTATGTTGGTCCCAATAATGACTGCATTAAAGGTAAGGGCTAGTGAAGGGTCATAAAGGTGTCTGTTGGAGGGGTTCCAGTGTCTCGGATAAAGGGACCCGATGTATACCGTTTGTACCGATGGGTTGAAGGCCAAAACATTGGCCGCCAGGTCCACAATATCGCTGGCGAGTTGAGCTGGTAGGGAGTCGGGGGGGGGGGGGGGGGGGGGGGTTTGGAGATGATGGAGGGGAAGGGGATGTCATTTTCCCCAATCTGTAAGATTACCACCTTAGCCTGGGTTTGCCATATTCGTGTTGTAACTTTGTTTGAGATTCTCAATACGGTGGCCCCCAGCCAACCATGGAGGTGAAAACTAGCCCCTATCTCTTTTTCTTCTTGCTTGAGAGTAGGAGCATCCCCCTTTTCAATCCTAGATATAAAGGAATGTCCCACTACATCTACAGTCAATGGGGTTTTAGATGTAATAGGGGGAAAAATTGGGATGCCTTCCAAAACAAATATCAGGAAATATTTCAAGAAATAATCGTAAATACACGCATCCAACTTACCTATTTGTCAATGAATTGGGTTTGGTACCCTTCCTTTTCTTGAAATCCAAGAATCTGCAAAAGGCCAGCAGAAGTATGGCTGGATGCAGAATGATGACAGCAAAATCGTCATGGTTTGTAATACATTCTTCCTCTTGGCCGCACTTTGAAGATAGGAGATCTATCCACTGTTCCTTTGTAACATACAGCCTCTTTGGAATCTAGAAGATCCGCCCGATCACATCCCATTTCAAGATCTGTTTTCTTGCAGATGCAGAAATCCAGTACTTCAGGAATTTCATCATTTTCAGCCTCTTCTAATTCCATCTCTCTCAGTTCTTCTTCTGTGTATTCAGGCTCGAACTGGTAACCCTGTCAATATCCCCCAGAATGTCGTCAAAATCTTCAAAGTTATTCATCTTTTTTTGCGTGTTTTCCAGTATTTTTTTCAATATGGCTGGTAGTGTCTCGCGCATGCGCAGACGAGACTTGTGACGTTTTTTTGTTATCTTATCAGCAATCTGATCAGCCAATAAGATAACGATCTATGAGGAGAGTCGGTGACGTCAATTATTAAGCCACGCCCCTTAAAAACTTGAATTCATTTTACATGTAACAAGACAAAATATTTTTCATATTTTTTTTAATTGTTAAGATAATTTATTTCACCAAAATATCATACATCATTGAGTACATATATGTGTTTCCTACAATATAAAAGCATATTTGCATCGGGGAGGAATATTCCTTTAAATGTTGCTGTTCCATCTTTGGACGTATTAAACTCTTTTGTTGTTAGTATTTTTTTCGCAAGTTTTTTACTTATGTCTTTATTTGGAGAAGTATTGCTACTGTTTAAGATATCAGCAATAGATGTATTTTCAGGTGTGGCTGAAGTTGATGTTGAAGGCCTGACAGGACTAAATTTTATAGGCGAAGTTCCAGTATCAGAAAATGTTATTAATTTATGTGTACCTTTCTTTGGGGTGCTACTGTGTATTCCAATATCGGAAGAACTTGCAGAGTCAATGGTGTCATCAATGATTATAAATTTCTGCTGAATGGCATGTACACGACTGTACCAGTCTCTTATTGACTTCTTCTTCCCTCCACGTCTTTGAAGGTTGTATAGTGCACATGTGTTACATTGTTCATCATTATGTGGGTAATATACAAATATTACTGAATCATCACACTTTGCTGATGTTCCCCTTTTTTACATTAGCCATCCGCCAGTAGAAACTTTTGTAAATTCTGTCTGGATGGACTTCACAATCGTCATGATGAATATTTATTGTAAAATGTTCTAAAAGGTCCTTTTCAAATTCCCTGCAGAATAATGGTTTTACCTTTTTAGTTATTTCAGCACATTTTTGAGCACGATTTCCACACACGATTTCCACACACCCTACACATGTTTTAATATAATCCAAGTGTTTCTCTTTAGATGATGCCATTTTGATAACATCCAACTAGTTTGCATGTGAGTTCTTATTATGTCCACAAGAAGAAAGTATGTTAAAGCTAAATACACTATGGCTGTTTTAAAAACAATCAGCTGATGTGAAACTGGACTCTGGAAAGGATGGAATTCTGGTGTTAAAGTGACTTTCTGCCTTATTTTAACCATATATTTGCCAGTGCAATTTAAGAAGATTTAAAAACTGTTTATCGGGGATATCTAGTTTCCTAGCTAAATGAACAAGGGTTCATATTTTTGAGAAACCAGACTTGAGTGATTAGTCATAATGTGTTAGTCCCCTATTTTAACAAGCCAGAAAAGGGTGAATTCTTTCCAAAAACAGAGAACCTTAAGTTGAGTGACAGTCATCTTGTTTACTTTTGTTGCTGTGCAACAAACCAGTAAGCATGCGCAGCGTAAGCAGAAGTCTTATCTGGAAGCAATTAATCATTCCAGGGGCTGAGAATAAAGAGTTCAGTTACTAGCCTGTTTGCAGGCATGTGCACAAATATTTTATTTTTCATACTCTAGCTACCTGTATTCCTCATTAGGAGAGGTGATATAAATGAGTTTTTGTAAGGTTAATCTTACTGAATCATGCTGGCCTTATATACACCATGATATCTATTATATAAGACTATTAATGATATCATTCTGGTCAAGTAGACTGATTTCCTTAGAAAATGTTCTGGACGATCATTGTTATTGTTACTTGGGATTGCGTTGTCAAAGACTTTGTGCTTTAAGGCAATAATGCCTGTTTGCTTCTGATGACAAGGCCCACACTAAGCCATTTATACTAGCTGACCTATACCAATGTTTTTCCAAATGTCACACAATGAAAGTATTCCCATGATATTGTTGAGTTTTTTTTTCAATTTTATTTTGCAATTAACACAAGTTGTTAAATTTTCTTGGATAAGAATTACATTATACGGGTTTGACTGTATGTAGGGTATGATGTGCATATTTTTGTTTATGTTCTTCATGTTGTGTATTGTGTTGTGTATATGTCTATGCATGTTGTGTATGTTGCTGTAAAACTTGTTATGAATGCTGGAATTGTTGCCCAGAATGATGTAGGGATGGTAACGCTCAAAGGTAGTGTGAGATGATGATGGCAGGGAGTCAGTTAACTTCCCTGTTTGCTATACATTCATATTTCTCCCTCCTTTTCTTCAACTGGTTGCTTTTGTATGTTTTTCCCCCTATTTGATGGCATGTCTTTTTAAGAAAGAGGAAGGTGAGTTACACCTTTCCATTACAGCTACTGTGTGGCAACATATAATAAAAGTTACATGGTTTATACAGTTGTTCTAAGGCAGACATATATTTGTTTTAAATAGTCTGCAATTGTTATGAATAATCAAGATGACTACAAGACTGTATGAGATGCAAAATATGGTAATATAAAGCAGTGGTCTTCTGTCCATTATTTCTTTAAATGCTCATCCAGAAGCTAAAGAAAAAAAAACAACAACAAATTATTGCAGATATGCTTTATAGCAATTGATTTTGATACAAAATATGTACCTTTTTTAAGTAGAGCCCTCTTCTTTCTACCCCCATCCCGATCACTCGCGTACTTTAACCATTTTTTATGACATCCTCTGACTCCGCTCTTGGCTGCGTCTGTAATGGTAAATGTTAGACAAGGCTTCGGAACATTTGATATTACATTACACTCAAAAACACATGACATTTCAATTTCTGAGCAGTTATTTCTGATTGTTTTACATATTTTATTTCAACTTAACACTTAAACATTATTTATAAATATAAATATTTCAATCATAACCTCAATTTCTAGAACCTACATGACCTAAGTGAAACTGAACATTACCTTTGATGACCTGGGCATAATATTATGTAATACTGTCATTAATCATAAGCACTCATTGGCATAGTATGGCTACGGAAATGTTCATTTATGTGGTTTCGAGGTGGCTGTCTGCATCTCTGCCATTGTGGGTGGAGTAAGTTGAGGTCCTTCCTCAATATCACAGTCCAGGTTTGGGATTGGTCAGAGGCAGCACACACCTCTGTCTGAGTCGCAGCGTGCTTCTGAGGGATAACTTCTGTCACTCTGACGCCCAAGTTCGTCATAAGTTTCTGCTGCTTTCTCCTGGCAAGCGACCGCCATGGCCACTTCTAGTGCCTGCAGCTCATCAATGATAGTTTGGCCAAGGGACGACATTACTGCTGGTGGATGCGTAGGTTGTCAATCACTCTCTGCATCTTCTGGATCCGTATTTATGGTACTGGATGGAATCAGCGGGGCAGTCACTACCGTGGTGGGCGTAGTCATTGGCACTGGCAAGCTCAACTCGGCCAGAGACTCACAGAACATCTCTGAAGGAGGGATACTATCAATCTCTTGAGTTGCAACTGTTTGGATATCTCGCCTCTGGGGACGAGACGTCACAACCCTCATAGTGGCGTTGTTTGATTTCTTGTGGGTAACCGTCCTCTAGTGTCTGTTTAAGGCTCCCTCTGTTCGAAATTGGCGTCTGCACCTCTTCCCTCTGGCACGTCTCTTCCTACATTGGTAGTGGGGAACGGTATTCTCCTGGAAGGAGTGGGCAAGAATTACTGATGGTAAAAACCTAGAACCTCCATGACCTAAGTGAATCTGAAAACCAACAAAGCACATGTTTAAATATAATATTGTGCTGAAGCTAATAAAACATTACCTTTGATGACCTGGGCAATTGTCTTTCATTCATTTATTTAATATACCAGGAAGAGTGCAGAGAAGCTTATCAGCATATTTATATCCATATAAAAACATGCTGGTACAGTTAATATGTTAAACATGGTGAACAAGCCAATACCTATGGGTGAAACTTCCACAAAAGTGATTACTGTAAACATACAAACATACATGTAAACTATATAAATGAATTTGGCACAAAATATGTGGTTATCATGAAAAAACTGTGAAATATATCTTGGATTCAGTGGATAATATATATATAGGTCTACCCTTACTATTAATCTACCTTAACAGTTATAACACTCTTACTAGACAATATTGTATCAGGCCAGAACTAAAATTATATAACCTCACTGTGTAATATCAACCTTCTAATTGTATTGCCACAAACCATTCGCTACGACAATGTGATCTCCAGTACATCAAGGTAACTATCTTCAAGGGCCTCCAAGTGAACAGAACTTTATTTCTTTAAGAAGTTAAATGAAACTGAATCTTCAGAATCCTAGGATTTGCAACAGACACCTAGCACCAGTTATAGGACTGTGCAACCAATGTTGGAAACAGTTAATCAAAAGAATTACAATCTTGCGCTGTGACAGTAGAATTATGGCATCAACTTATAGATAACTATGGTAAAGACAATCCATATAAGATTAGTATTACATGGAGAACCTTTCAGTACTGAATTCTCAGGTTATGCACTGAATGGCAACTATTGTCGCTAATCAGATATAAACCATGGACTCTGAGCTTGTCCGATTC